TTACATAACACATATTCTTGTCGCTAGTTATTTTGTGGAACACAATGTCCAGTGCTTCAGAAAAAATATCGATCTGAATATTTTGGGGTTTGTATACCACACCAACTATAATATTCTTTGTCTTTTCTTGAACTATTTCTATAAAAATGGAGTCACAAATTTCTGAATCAAGCGTCAGGTCATCTCTTAGGAAATAAGATATATACATTCCAACACCCCCGCCACGACCATGGTCTCTGTTCTTACAGATAAAAGTATATTCATCGATATTTATTGAGAGACTAGCGTCTCTTAGCCAGGTCTCCGAGATGCCAATTACATCAAACTGGAAATTTAAAATACTCAAGAAATTTTTTAAGGAATCACAATTTTTAAAAATACTCCTAACGTTGAAATGTATATTCGAAAAGGTTGCATTATAGTAGTAATTAGTAATTAGAAGTGGACGTAACGTAGTTTGCAAAATAATTTTTGTCAGGGTCGATATCTGCATTGTTATTGTGCCTCTCACTTTCAAGTACAATTGGATTAAATCTGAGATTTAAATAGGTATCTTTGAAGGGAGCGTGCCGATTTGATATAATTGATTCCAAATCGTCTATATGATGAAAAAGGAACATGTGAGAATAGCAGTTAACACACATGAGCAAGTTCTCATTCCATGAGTTATGTACAACATTACAATGGCATGATTGACAATGAAAGGTTTGATTACGTAATAGGACAGTGTTGTCGGTAGGCATTGAATTACCCGCCATGCAGATTCAGGATTGACAACAAATATCGTGTACATGATTTTACTTGAATGATATGCATGCTGTCTAAAGATACGATGTAGTACGTCTTGTTTTTTAATTGTTCCATTCTGTATTTGTATGTTTTAAATGTTTTTATGAAGAGTGTTGAATAAACTTTGAATTGAATTTGTTTGAACATCTAACATATCTAAAGCACCTTCTTGTATACTATTTAATACATTTGACCTTGTAACCTGTGCAGGTCTCCTGTTCCATAGGAAATCAAAAAATAACTTATCGAGCTCCTTAACTATCTCTTTAGGACAAGACAAAACTTGTGATGTATAAATGATTTTCGACATTATCAATGGTTTTAATATCATTATTTTCCCTTTAAGCTTGAGATTTCTCTGCTTCCATAGATTTAACAGCTGTTTTATTTGTAATATTCTCTCTTCAGACCAGTTCATTTCTAAGCCTATATCTTTATTTTTACAAAAAAGATACCAAGTGACTTAACATAAATAGCTCCCATAACATATTTGTTGGATCGTTGGTTCCCAATCAGATGGCTTTTGTCTTGTTTTCATTTAATTGAATTCCAGAATACTTTTCATTTTTTTAAATAAACTTTAATCATAGCTGTGTTTACCTGACTAGCTGTACGAACAAATAATGTCATGTCATCTAATAACTGTGATATTTGTAATGTTTTCTTATTACAACCAACATTATTACGAGGGCTTGCGTTTTGTTTACGATTTCATTCGGGTTGTGTTACGATGGCTTTACGGATTGTTCCGAGTTATTATGCGCACTTTATGTATGATTACGAGTATACTTGACGAATAGATATGTATAATTTACGTATTCTTACGTATTTTCTATGATTAAAAAGGTATAAAAGGTGCAAAATCGAACACTTCATTTTCAGTTGTTATTTTTTGGCCAAAAATCGTCAGGACTCGTTAATACTCGTATCTAACTCGTATCTATTATTATTCGTAACAACACGTAAACAGGTCGTAACTAACACGTAAGTTGCTCGTAATTATTCGTGACAACTCGTAACAATCGTGGGATTTTGGCGTAAATACATCGTAATAACTCGTAATAATCCATAAAAAACTTAAATCGGTCGTAAAATTGGCCAAATCGTAAGGATCCGTGTAAGATCCATGAATATGTGCGATCCGTAAGGACTCGAAAGAAAAAATGTACGTGTGAAGGTGGTATTAAGTTGATTCATTTCATTTCATTTAATTTCGTTTATTTCCATTTCCAACAAAGTAAATAAAGTACATGGGATTGCATTGTACATAGTAAAACAATGAAATTTAACAATATATTTGTAATTGGTCCACAGTGTACAACAGGCATATAAGACAGGTTGTTCATGGAGGGGACTGCTGAAGATCTTGGCTTGTAGATTGCAGCGCCCTACAACTTACAGTTGCAAAAATAGTATATCAATAATAAAGGAACTCACAAATACATAAACCAAATAAACATAACATAGAAGGAGTGAAAGGGACAGGGAAAGAAGGGAGACAACGAGAGAGGGCAGGGCTCTTACCTATAACACACACAACACAACACGGGCCGACTGGAATACAGATGGCCAGTACAAAAGGAATCAAAATATCCAAATGTGTTTTATTGAGTTAAATACATTTAAAGAGGGAGAGCTAACGCTTGATGATTACGCATTTTTAAAAATGTTATTTGAATTTAAAAGAATTTAAACTAGGGGCATTCTTGATGCTAACATCAAGAATTGTCCATAGCTTCGGGCCTGCGTAAGTGAATATGGATTTAGCAAGTAAAGTTCTAGTTAATGGCGGATGAAATTCGTCAGATTGGCGCGTAGGGTATTTGTGTATAGTTTTATTTTTGATGAATATTAAATTGAATCCTGAGGGTAGCGTATTATTATTTAACTGGTACATAAATTGACCTCGGCTATAACGATATAAATCATTTATTTTCAACACATTATTTTCAACAAATAAAACGTCAGTATGAGATCTCCAGGAAGTGTTACAATAACACGCATAGCTTTTTTTTGTAGAAGTAGTATTCTATGAAGATAAGAATCGTATGTATTACCCCAAACAAAAATACCACAATTTAAGTAGGGCAAAATTAATGTCGAGTAAAGCATTTGTAGGGAGAAGGTTGGCAGAAAAAACTTTACCTTATTTACAATCCGATTCGACAACTAATAGTCGCTATTTTCCCATTTAAGGACATTTTTCAACATTCTTTTTTCAGGGAAGTTCTAAATTAGTATTATCTTTCAAATGCCGTTGCCAATTTAACCTTTTTATTTTTTTGGCCAGCAAATGGGACACAGGGCGCTCTATTTCACAGTATATTGTGTACATCATTGACAACTAATTGGTACACCTGAATATAATAACAATTTTTAAAATAAATAATCTTAAGACTATTTTAGCAGAATTAAAGCCACATCGTCCTACTTGTAGCTACTTGCTCCCTCTATATAGAAAACAATGCCTAATCGGTGACCATTGGTCCCCTATGATCCTCTTTTTCTTTTGTTAGTTGAGGACTGAGTTGATGAGATAACCACCTGTCCATTGACCTTGCATAACTAGTACAGATAAGCTTTAAGATATTAATTGTGTTATATTATATTTTTTTGTATTGAATTGTATCATTTAAAGCACTGCATTGCATTTGGTTATTACCACACATTTCAACAGGGCATGAAATCATTGAGTGACAAATAGAAATATGAATTCTATAGAATTTCCAATCAAGAGGAACATAAATATTATACACCATCCATTCCTTGCATCTATGGACCCACCCTTTGCATCAATGGACCCACCCTTTGCATCTATGGACCCACCCTATGAAACAACCTCCCCCTCATTATTCGTAACACCCCAACAGTCGATTCATTCAAATCACTTCTGAAGACATTATTTCATTCAATAATCTGTCAATTATATGCTAGTTTATGTCAAATAATGTTATTTCCTTACTACAAGATGATCGTAATTATGCAACTATTATAATTGTCTTTATAAATTCACATCATTTTATATTATATCTGATTTTTTCATCATTGTATACGATATGTATATCTGTTAATTCATGCATATTTAAATCTGTAGATTAATTGTGTAATTTATTGTATAATTGATTGTTGTAAAGCGCATAGAGAATTAATCATTATGCGCTATATAAAAATGACTTTATTATTATTATCTGTATCTCTTTCTCTCCCTATATGAAAGAAGAGTGAATGAACATTTTATTTGGAAGGGAAGAGTGATTTGAAAGAAAGGGAGGTAGAGGAAGAGTGGGAAATAAATAAATAGAGAGAGGGAAAAAGAGAGAGAGAGAGAGAGAGAGAGAAAGAGAGAGTGAGAGAGAGAGAGAGAGAGAAAGAGAGAGGAGAAAAAAACGATACAAAAATAATTAAACAATGCAACACAGTTCCTTTGTGTTTAAAAGAAAACAAATGATAAAGGTTTTTGGAGAAGAAAAAAGTGTTATCAAGCTGCAGGCAATGCAAGCTCTCCTGGCAGACTGGCCAGGAGGTGGGTGTTTTTCCTCCTGGACTAACAGTCAAATATTCAGACACTTCAGTACCTCCAGTAAGCTGCCAAAACATCTCCACTAAGGTTCCGTGTCAGGTATCGTCACATCTCCGCCGAGAATCTTCACACCCTTCATCAACCGGGGATGATTAGGCGTGTTTTCATCAGCTCGAGTTTGCCAAATATCTCGCTATTTCAACTATCTCGATCGCAAATTATTCAGTTAGTTTGCGTCTTCATCGGCCCGAAGTTGCAATTAGCGGGATATTTGGTCGGAATAATCATCCCAAGATATCTTGGGATAGTTTGCAAAATATCCCACTATTTGGAAAACTATCCCAGCCCGAAGATTCGCACTATCGGCGCGAACGCTGAGCAAAATATCTCGAGCTAATTTCTCATGGTCGAGTTTCAAGTTTCGAGGTCGAATCTCGAGCTGATGAGGACGCGATTTGTAACTTCGGGATTATTTCCCAAATCAGAAAAGCGGGCTATTTGGCGATCTCGAGCTGATGAGGACACGCCTAGTGTTGCGCTATTCCCACTTGGTAACTGGAACTCTTGCTCGGTGACATTATTATAGGAAAGGGCCTGATATTAGATCTCGGTAATAAATCACGAATGTTTGTCACGATGTCGTTACCTTTTTCAAAGACGTATAGAAAGGTCAAGAATGTCTAAGCAATGAAAAGTAAAACATATTATTTTGAAAATTCTTATCAAACGCGAGAGCCTTCAAGAAACGGAGGTAATTACCTTTATCTATGATTTTAATACAGCAATAACATCTAGCACCCAGAAACACCGGGTATTGACCCTCTTTCGAAAAGAAAAAAAATATAGGTTTTTTTTTAAGGATGAAAAACTCTATATTTCGGCGAGTAATCCCCTCCCATTAACGATAATCTTGAATCTGCAAACGCATACAGGTAATTGACTCGATGTATACAAATGAACTATCTAAAACAAGTTATTGCTATAACGTCTTCGTCTACAAAAGCACATAAAATTAATTTAAAAAAATCTGGCTTGAAATATCAAGTTTTCATATGGGATGATCTGAAAAAATTGAACGCAAAAAAAAAAAATATATATTTAAAACACAAACAAACAAACTTGGATTCCTAAGAACTTTTCATTTGTTACTAAGTGCATTTTTATGATACTAAAATGGTTTGACTAATTCATGTTGCAATAAGTGGGAGGTATTTTTTTTTTCTTCGCCAAATAATTGTACCGTTTGGCCGATTCAACATTCTAGATTGAAACCAACCATCAAATGCATTTAATTGAATAATGGTCATTTCCCATTCGTGAACATGTTTTGTTTTCGTGCTTGAAGTTCTTCGACTTAGCAACAGTTTATTTCAACATCTGTATGAGCAGTTAATATATTGAATAATTTCATAAAAGGTCGGAAATCGTTTCATAGGCTAGCTCTGTAGAAAAAGGTTCGGAATATCTTGTGTGCCTCAATCAGAAAAGGATGCCTATAGAGGGCGCAATCTAGGTTGGTTTTATTATGGAATGTTGAATCGACCAAAAAGTACAATTTTCGCGTTTTCAATTACGTTTACAAAATAATTGAATATTACAGACAAATATATTGACACATTTTCAAACATTAACAAGTTACATTTAAACACATACATACATTAAACAGATGGAAAATCAAAATGTTACAAGTAACAGAATTTAGGGGGGGGGGGGGGGGTAAGTGTTGAACAATTTATTTAAAAATCAAGGCTAATTATCCACAGAGCCTATTAACACATAGACAGTCCAACTCGGTTTTAGTAACTATTATGTGCCGGTCTAACAACGAGTAGGGTAAATGGCATTATAGATATGAGTTTATGAGGAAGTAAAATGCGAAATGTTCGCTAATTAAAGCTCGATCGCTTCGCTCTAGCTCGCATAAAGTTGATTCTGGATCTCGTACTTAATGTTTTAATATAATTCCTTAGGCTGTTCCATGTTATAGCCCCCTAGCAGGATAAAGCGTAGAAAACAGAATTTGCGAATGTTTAACATTTAAAAGAAGTCTTCACTGTCGGTTGACAATAGCCCTCGTTTCGGTTAATTCGCACCCCCTTGAGGAAAAAGTGAAGCCGTTTATCAATGTTATCACTGTTTCGCTCGACTGCAATCCTCCCTTGCAAATTTTCCTGAATTAAAAGCATAAATGTATGTATTTTTGACGGTTAAAAATGCAAAAGATACATCATTTGTTCGCTTTGCTCCCTCGCTTTTAAGGAACATACATACATTTAGGTGAGAGGGAGGAGGGGGGGGGGGGCGCAAATATGGTATTGCTTGCCCTGGTCGCCATTAACCCTAGAAACGCCACTGTGTAAAATGCATATGTTGGTATAGTGTAGGATACGATGTTTACCTACACACAATGGGCAATGTCAATTATTCGTGAATATAAGATTATGTATGTTTGCTTTTATAGTCCCCGAGACTTGGTGATAACTAGCTTCACCTAGACCGATTATACAACATGTACACAGTATACAAGCAATAGTGTGAATGAAGGCCCGCATCATCATGATATTCAATTCAATTTAAATTCCACAATTTACATAAGCCATTTACTTAAACAATTACATCTACAATAGAATAATAACATATGCATTGATAAAATAAGTTCTTGTTTCAGCCAAATATACATGTTAAAAATTAAAAAAATCTGTTGCGTCGTAGTGTTTTCTCTGTGGTTCTTTTCTCCTCAGTGTAGATCTTTATCTTGCTGGTCGTCATTAGTTTCCCCTTCCTCCTTCTCCTCCTTCTCATCATCCTTCTCCTCTTTCTCCTCCTCTTCTTCTTGCTTCTCCTCTTCTTCTTTCTTCTCCTCTGTCGCCTTGTTATCCTCTTCTCCATTCCTTCCTTCCGAAACGTGTTTTGAGTTGTCGTCCAAAGGGTGTAGATCTGAGCCGTCTTTACTTAGCTCAACACCATTTTGGTCTATCTCTCTCCACCCTTTCCGTTGTCATTCCTCCGCTGTTCTCGTCATTGTCCTTTCCGTTATTATGATGGTCAACAATGTCACGATCAACGTTATTCCCATGGTCAACAATGTCACGATCAATGTTATTCTCATGATCAACGTTATTCTCATGGTCAACAGAGTCATGATCAACGTTATTCTCATGGTCAACAGAGTCATGATCAACGTTATTCTCATGGTCAGCAAAGTCATGATCAACGTTATTCTGATGGTCAACAGAGTCATGATAAACGTTATTCTGATGGTCAGCAAAGTCATGATCAACGTTATGCTGATGGTCAGCAAAGTCATGATTAACGTTATTCTGATGGTCAGCAAAGTCATGATCAACGTTATTCTGATGGTCAACAAAGTCATGATTAACGTTATTCTGATGGTAAACAATGTCACGATCAACGTTATTCCATGGTCAACAATGTCACGATCAACGTTATTCTCGTTGTCAACAATGTCATGATCAACGTTATTTTCATGGTCAACACTGTCCTCATAGTCATCATCGTAATCAACACTCTCATAATCATCATCATTCTCCTGTGCAACATCTCCACGTGGAGCTGTCACCTGGTGATGTTGCATTTGATAAGCATCATCATGCTCAGCGGTTCCCATAGCAACCTGGTCCCCTCCTCCTTCTACAGCTGCAAGTTCTTCTGCCAAGGTATCTTGGATGATTTCCCCGTCTTCACCGATCACCTCGTTGTCATCTAAAACCGACTCAGCTCCATCGCTGTCGGATTCGACGTCGCTTTCGTTTACTCTCCTCTTGTTGTGGATGTCGTTTGTTTTATTCGTCACGATGTTTTCAGTGACCGAAGCAGCGACATCGACAGGAGGTGTATTGTTTTTTAAACTACTTCGACCCTCCTCTCTCGACTCCACCGACCACTCTCCTCGATCTCCCTCATCAATTTTATCTTCGCTTTCATCGTAATAGTACTCCTCAGAGCTGTTCGTTTTGAGAGCAATCTTCGTGTCGCCTAATTCTGAATTTCTTTCATCGAATTCATAATCAACTTCCTGTTCGCTTTTCCTCTCCAAGAAATTGGCGTCAATGCTTGAGCTCTGCATGTCTATTGAGACCTTCTTAGTGTTGTAGTCCTCGTCCATGAGCTCTATGAGTCGAAGTTCGTCCCCTGCGATGAAAGATAAGAAGGAATGATGCTAAGAATGAAATCAGTCAAAGAACAGCACACCAAACATCTCGAGTTTTATTTTCATCAAAAATGAATGATTCGAACTAAAAAAGACGATCGGAACTTTTTTTCGAATTTTTTTTTAAAATCAACTGTAATTTCATTCATTGAGTCGTTGCGAAATTTTCGGCTCGATTTGTAAATGTTAACCCCCCCCCCCCCCCCCTTGAAAAATCCTGCGTACGCGCCTGGTTGTAATCATGGCATTGTGGCCGACATGAAGTCACAGGTAGTATTCCATTTATCCATTCGAGCTACTCATGCCATGTGAGTGGGATTGCACAGGAAATATAATCCATCATAAGATGATAGAAGCGGATCCTAATCAAATGATTGGTTGAGAGCGGTACTTTTCGTGCGACAAAGTCCGGCCCGAGAAATTGTAAAAAAGGGGGTGTATTTGATTTTCACCCGGATTTCTTTAAAAAGGGGTGTTTTTTACTTTTTTTTCTCTCATCTCTTTGGACTCCTGAGAAATTATTCCGAATTTAGGGGGGTACATTGAGCATTTTTCCTGATTTAGGGGGTCTCCAAGGCAGGAAAAGCCCGCGAAAAGCCCGTGAAAAGGGGGTTCGGAAATATTGGCAGTCCTCAGATAGGGGGTGCTTTCAAAAAGAGGGAACAAGCATACGCGTACCCTAAATAACACTGAGTGGGGGGGGGGGGGGGGTGCATAAATCAGTCATCCCGTAAAATAGTAACATTTTGCAGAGACAATATATAGATAGGCCTATTGTCTCTGCAAAAATTGTACCTGAAGCACCTTCGAGCGAACGTGCAGCTGAGATGCTAAGAAAGTAACTAAAATGTTTTAAAAATCACATTAGGTCAATTTACAAAACACAGGTCGAGGCGTTATTCCGGGTGTATTTAAGGGCAAATCTAGATGATGATTTTCACAAAAGCAATTTTAACTTTGTTGATTTAAATAAAAGTAAATTATGTGTCCAAGTAACTGTGGGCATCCCCCCCCCCCCCCACTTCGGAGAATTTTTGCCCATTTTGAAGTAATTATTCCATATTTTAATCCTAAATGGACCGTATGTGAATAAAGTTGGGTAGTGAAAAGGCCCAACGTAGGCTGGATAGATATCATCCGCGTTGGGTAATTTGTTTACCAATTTTTTAATTTGTTAAAAGAGTGTAATTAGAAAATTAACTATAATGTAGTTGTATACCACGGCACAGGCGCGTACACAGTGGGGGGGGGTGTTTGGGGTTAACCCCCCCCCCCCCTTGGTATTTTTTTGTGTGTAAAACCCCCCCCCCCCTTTGGATTTTTTTTTTTTTTTTAATTTTTTTATATAAAAAAAAAAAATTATTTCCATGGCTGACCTAAAAAAGGTGACCTTACCCCCCCCCCCCCAACGGAGCAAAATGTCAAATTTTCAAATTTCGAGAACCCCCCCCCCCCCCCCCCCCCCCCCCCCCCCTCCCCCCCCCCCCCCCCCCCCCCCCCCCACGCTTATTCAGAGGCTGGCTGAGTCGTTGCGAAATTTTCGGCCCGATTTATAAATGTTAAAACTCGCCCCCCCCCCCCCCCCCCCCCCCCCCCCCCCCTTGAAAAAATCCTGCGTACGCGCCTGCCACGGCATATTAAAAGAATTGCCATCAACCAAAGCCTTCTACTGAAGATAGATCAAATCTTCTGTCTCACACAAACCTCGGCTGTTGAACCAGAAGCCGATTCGGACGACGGCCAGGACCATGACCAAGAAGATGACCACGCGTCTCACATTGAGTTTAGTTGGTCTCATCATGTATTGACGGTGACGTCGGCGTGTGCTGGAAAAATAGGATTTATGAAAATCATGAAATTAAAATTGACTTTAATTCAAATTCAACTGTTGGAACCATACATGTAGGGTCATTCTAATTAAAGAAAAACATAAACAAATGATCACAAAAATACAAATAATAGTTTAACAAAGATAATTGAGTAGATATGTCAAAATTACAATAAATAGAAATAGCAACAACAAAAAATCTTCTTTTTTCCCCATCATTTATCAATTAAATTATAATACGAACATAAGAGCCACAAAATTATTTCGATTACAAATAAAAACACATGAATTATACTTTTTTGTTTAACATAGTCAACATTTTTTTCCAGAGATGATGCTTTTCAACATTTTGCCCTCCATAATATTTCCTTTAAATAAATGTCGAATATGTTCGTAAAATTACCTTTTCTTTTTTGCGTATATAAAACATAAGAAGCTAAATTAATTAATAGATTTTTTAAAACTATATATTTTGAATTTGTATAATCACATTGCTTGCCTATACAATTATATCACCTTTTTTCGATTTTTTTCATTATCAAACAATACAGACCTTGTTCCAAAATATTTTGGAGTACTCACAGTTATATAATAAATGATAATAATTTTATGTGCATTTGCACTTCAAAAAATAATTATGATCAGATCTTTTGAAACGATATAGATATTCACATGCTAATAACTCATAGAGTAGTTTGAAATTAAACTGTTTTAATCGTTTTTCCTTAACGTATGTCAAATTCATTTTTCCATATATTTGCCCAGGATAATTTTTTTCCACTAAAAAATCCCAATAAATTTGAACATTTGGATTTATAAAGGTTCTATCAACTAATACCTTATATATAATTTGTGAGATTTTTTTTGGTGAAAAGATTTACATACCACCACATGCCTCTTTTGGAATAATCATAGTACAGAGTTGTAAAGTAAATTGCATTTCTCGTAATGCTCTTTACATTCTTACATTTCACCTTCACCAGTTTAAAGACCATTCTTTGAGTCTTAAACGATTTTTTCCTTTATGCATTATTATGCCTGGTGCATTCCAAAAATGAAAGGAGTGATCTGCTTCTCTCTCTCCTCCTTCTTCTTCTTCTTCTTCTTCTTTTTCTTCTTCTTCTTCTTCTTTTTCTTCTTCTTCTTCTTATTTTTGAATCTTTATCTTCTTTTTCTTGGAATGTACAGTATCTGACACCATTTATACATCTAGAGTCTTATTATGATAATCGATATAATTATATACTCGATATTATGATCATCTTGATCTTCATGATCATGATCCACATGATCAGTATCGTGACCACCGCCACCACCACCACCTACATCATCATCTTCATCCTTATCATCATCATCATTATTATCATTATCACCACCTCCACCACCACCACATTGTAATGATTCGAGCATGATACAAGCATTAACGTACCTCAAAGTTCTCTTCATGTGAACAATGTGAAGATCCGTGACTTCTATCTACAAGTTGTCAAAATTCTGTTTATAAGCTAACCATTTATCATTCCCAACGATGGAACCTGAAGTAAGATAGCTAGCTCGGCGCCACATCACACGTTTTACTTCAGTCACAACAGAGGAAAGCTAAAACTATGTTCCTATATAGTCAGGGAAAGTAAGACATGCATCAGCGGCTGCAGAAGGAGAAATATTTCAATAACCCATTTAAAAATAAACGTATACGTGGTGAAAATACAAACGTCACTGAAAGCAGACACATACGATGGGGCGTTTTCACTCTTTTATGTTTTCTATTTACCCCCTTCCGTTGCGTAATCGAACAATAAGTTTTGCTGGTCCCACTTTCAATCAAATCTACTCGGTAAATATTGACATGGGAGCTGCATATTCTACACTGCTCTAGGTCAGCATGTTAATACCTGGTAAAACGGTGTAAAAGACTTGAGATTATTATAAAATCTCACTCTCTAAATGAATTTTTTCCCGTAGTCATGGTAAGCCGCCCGCAGAAAACAGAGAGAGAGAGAGAGAGAGAGAGAGAGGGGGGGGGGGGGGAGGGAGATAGAGATAAATAGAGAGAGCAGAGGGAGGAAGTGGAGGGAGAAGATAATATATATATATATATATATACAGAGAGATAGAGAGAGAGAGAGAGAGAGAGAGAGAGAGAGAGAGAGCAGGAGAGGGGGGGGGGGGGGGGGTTGATCGAGGGCCTGAGAGCCCCAAATATTTTGGTAGCACAAGCATTGACATAATTATGCATATACACCATTTTCTTCGGCACTATACATAGCTTTACTTGCGGGAAAGGAAAAAAAAAAAGAGATTAAGAATATGGTAATTTGCTAGTACTTTATGATCCCCTTCCTGCCATAGTCAGTATGACGTCACCTTCTCTCTCTCTCTCTCTCTCTCTCTCTCTCTCTCTCTTTCTTTCCCTCCCTCTCTCTCTCCCGTCTCTCTTGTCCCCCTTCTCTCTCTCCCCTCTCTCTCTCCTTCTCTCTCTCTCTTTCTTTCTCTCTTTCTCTCTCTTTCTCATCACTCCAATTCTTCCTCTCCTACACCTCTCCCTTTCCCTTTCTTTTTTGACACAAATTTAAATTTGATCGATGAACTTTTTATGAAATGTCTATTATGCTTGATTTTTGTATTTATGTCATATTTTGTGTTATTGGAATTTGATTTGCAATTATATTGTGTCTTTGTGAAATACATCGCAATTCAGCCATTGGCTGCGATTATCTTTTTAATCAACCATTTCTATCTATATCTACCACGTCAAAATAAACGAACCGGCTGATCTTCAGAATAAACTAGTGTACATTTTCGTGACGCAATCAAACAGCAACTGTGACGAAGAATAACACTACGACGTCTGTCGAGACTCGAAACAGGTAAGATTTCACCTCTTTTAGACAAAAATCTTCAGTGATTATAAGACGAACATGTCACTGATATAATGAAATTTTGAGTAGTGTCTAAGGATCAAGGCGATTGAGGGAGAATTGAGATTTATTACGTTCTTATTGCGCCCAAAATTTTATGTATGGTCCCACGCGTTTATAATGGTGTTGTAGTTAGTTTGATCGACCCCGCGGCTGTAAATTAGTGTAACACGCAATAATAATAATAATCAGGCCTTAAATTTCAATATTTTTAGGACAAGGCCTCTTTTCTGTAGGGCACATTCCTAACAGCACAAATATGAAAATTGGAAAGGGCACACAAAATCTCCAAGGCATTGCAAGGCAAATGAGAGGGGCATTGAGGCCAATCAAAACGGCCATGTCCTTGGTGGCCTTGGATTGATTTAACTCATTTTTTTAAGCCCTGAATAATAATAATAATAATATTGTATTCTTATATCGTGCACGTATCGACCTTACAAGGTCCTCAAGGCGCTCCAACATTACCCAGCTATGATAGGCAGCCTAGGCTGCCGATTTCGATGCTCACAGCAGATTCCTTCCTACCGCGGTACCGGTTCCCATTTAACACCTGGGTGGAGAGTGGCAAGTGCAGATTAATGTCTTGCCAAAGGACGTAAGTGCCGCGGCGGGACTCGAACTGTGGACCCTGTGATTCACAGTCCGACGACTTAATATCCACTACGCCACAACACCTCTACACGCAACAATTAATTTATGTCATTCGTTGTTGATGGTATCGTGATATTACCGGTACCTGTTTTAATATTTATCACTCTAGTTGCATTTACATGTAGCTGTAACAAAGTGTAAACTAAAAACATCCTAGTATACATCCTGGCCCACCCGCCCGGGGTCCTTTCCCCCTCCCCCTCCGGCCTCCCCCCCCCCCCCCACTTCCCTGTTCCACAAGCGGGACTGCACTACTTGTTGCTACTTGCACCCTCTATACAGCCAACAATGCCTAAGCGGTACCTGTCAATCCCCCATGATCCCCTTTTTCTTATGTTGATTGAGAGCTGATTTGATGAGTTAACCACCTACCTATAAACTCGCTGATATCCATCCCCCAGACAGTTCTGACTCCATCACTACCTGCTTTTCAAAGAGGCCATGACGAGAAACTTAATTGAGTGCCATATTCCCAGACACAAGTACGGCAAAGGAGCTTCTTTCCAGATACCACCAGGCTCTGGAACTCACTACCCCAGGCCGCCGTCACCTGTACCTCTCTGCCAAGCTTTAAGAGAGAGGTACTCGGGATCCAGCTCTGCTAAGCTACAGATGCCTTTTTAGCTGCACATACATTAGTTCATTGTAGACCTTTTATTGAGACACTATTATATATATATATACACTGTATATATACACCTGCACAGCACCTACAGCAGTATGAGAATACACCCGACGATGGCCTGTACCATGCAGGGAAGTCTAATCCCTCCTGACCAAACTAGTGCAGAAAGGCTTTAATGAATCTTTTTCCCTCTCTATTTTATTAAATAGAGTAGACAATAGTGATACTCTCAAAATAGTCCTTTAAAGACCGTCAATACTACTGGGCCAGAAGGGATTAGACCACACAGCGAGGTCACTGACAGGTGGCTATCTCATTAACTCAGCTCTCAACTAACATAAGAAAAAGAGGATTATGGGGGACCAACAGGCACCGATTGGAGAAGTTTTCTATATAGAGGGAGCAAGTAGCTACAAGTAGGACAGTGGGGCCTTAAACGTTCTTTTTTTTCTTCTTCATATGCTCACCTATCCTGATTTGTTTCTCATGTTTCTTTTCAGTAAGGTGATGCAGATCATAGATACATGTACTACTTGAGATCCTGAAGCTTTCTTCTTTCTCTTTGGTTACAAACCGGTGGTCAACAGCTCAAGTCAAGAGCTTAGATCAAGAACAAGCCCTTCTTTGTATGCTAAAACAAACAGTAAGTTCGATATAAATACTTAAAGATTAAGGTGAGTTCTGGTAAAAAAAAGAAAATGAATTCTAACAGAATCAAACGAAAATTACACTGAATGTTCAAGATTACAAATAAATGTCATTTGTCAAACAATTTTGGTAGAAAATGTATACTGGCTGAGAAATGAGCATAGAAAGTTTAGGAAATCAAGGTAAGTAGCCCTGACACCATTTGTGTAGTCCCGTATACATCTTTCTGTGTACAGTGCTTATTATTTTACCAAGACTGGGCCAAATTTATTATGATTTTGATGACTCCACAACTTTGCAGTACACACCAATACTTACATGCTACATGATCAACTTTTTCTGATCCATTCCATACCTTTTCTTTCACAATGCGATCGGATGACCAGAACTCACCTTTATCTTTAATGATAATTGTAAATTTATATTTGTTCACAAATATACTCAATATACATACATAGGGACATCCTATCCTGTAATGTGTTATGCACTATAAAAGAACTGAGTATTATTATTATTATTATTATTACAGTGATTCAAATTTTTCATCCATTCTATAATAAAATAAAAGTTATGTTATTCTTAGTTTAAAGGCTGGTACGTTTGAGTGTTTAAAAATGCGATGGTTACGCTTATATTTTTTTTATTTCACCAAATTTGTTACCTGACCAAACACTGCATTACAATTAACAATGAATATTTCATGGATGAGATTTCTCTGATTATGCATTGAAAAAATTATGTTCCTTGTCACATTCCTAAATTTCAAGATAAAGGAATAATTGGAAAATTCCAAAAAGAGCACAATATACATGTACATAAACAATGTTCATATATTTCTGAGGCTTTACATATGATTAGCAAAACCAGGCCCTGTAAAAAATATTCTTGTATTTTGTTATGCTATTTGATTCCAAATGATTTGTGAAGATTTTGTTTTAACCCTTTGATTGCAGGTACCAGCTTCAGGGCTGAAAAGAGGAATGGCAAAAGTAAGTCAATATGCTATTGATCATGCTTTAAACATGTGCTGGTAGATATATAAAGCATTTAATACTTTTCATCAGGAAACAATAACATTCTTGCTTTAATTCCTTCAGGGTTTGTATATTGTTAAGTTGAATGTTACTTTGTTTAACTCAAAGTGCTGTAATTTAATTATGGAAAATGAGAATGGTTACATTTTGTATATTCTGTACATTTGTACATTCTGCATTCAATCAGCAGATGTATGAGATTTATTGTATTATTACCAACGCTCCTTCTCTCCCCTTTCCTTTTCTTCTCTGCAAGTCACTCTCTTTTTTATTTTATTTGTATTGTTGTATCTAAGTTGAGGGCTGCGGGCACGTCAAGCTACTTTGCTTATTTCTGTAGCCCTCCTGCATGTAATGTATGTTAATTATGCATTCAATATATTTGTTTAAATTCAATATATTTGTTTAAAATCGTTTATTATCTGTATAAAATTATATGCACTTGAATTATTGTATCAAGCCATATTATGTTCATGAAAATGTATGATGAAAAAAAGAAAAAAGATGCAGATACCAATAAATCAAATCAAAATAACTAGTATTAAGATCACAAGTGCCAAGTTGAATGATGATACATATTTTTGTAATTTGGAAACTGCACATCAAATGTTTTGATCTGATATGAGTAGCAAATGGTGTACTTAAAACTTGGTCTGCAGCTTTAGACATATCGATTGATAGATGTACTCATGTGCTATAACTGCCATATACTTTTAACTCCCCTCTATACCAAAATACGTGATTTTTTATTTATTTGTGTATTGTATATATTTCCACCAGCTGATTAGCCGGACGGGTTTCCTGTCCTACACCTCAGGGCTATCGGCCTTCAGGGCTGCCATCGTCCAAAGTCATCGCACTTTCTCAGAGTCCACCAAGCACAAGCAGAACAACGGAGAGGACAGCTCCTACGGAACGCCTTACACCCTGTGGCCCGATGCCAAGCTGGGTCCCCTAGCCCCTCAAGATCCACGCTTTCCTCTCCCGGGCAACGTGGGTCTGGGCTTGAGATTCCAGCCGCCGCAGCCTGAGGTAGGTCCTGATAATTACCTGATTTAAATCGGTTTCTGATTTATTTATTTTCTTCCCGATTTGTTTTCTTTACCCCATTTTTTTTCTTCCCGATTTTCCCCTTATTTTCTCTATTCTTCCCTATTTCCCCCCAATTTTCTTACTCGAAAGGGGGAAGTGTTGTTAGATGCCATTCCCCCCCCCCCCCCCGAATCCTCTTTTTTTTTTACTCAAGGGGGGCGTGGTTGAGGGAAACCCCCCCCCCCTTTTTTTTTTAGTGCCCACTCTCACCCCTGGTCCGAGGAGGTCGAGTCTAGGTCGTTGTTGAGTAACTGATACTAGGGACTTTTAGATTTGTGTGGACTGATACGTGTGACGTCCATTCAAGGCAGTGCATTAAAAGGACGTCGATCGTAGCAATCCCCATTGTCTTCGCGTGAATCTAAAAGTCCCTAATGTCTTTCTAACCCTTACAATGCCACTAAGATTACCAACATGCATCATTCATATGTATGTTTTACATTAATATGTTATACCCTGCTTTGGCAAATCCATTGTTCTGGGCCTTGTATGCTACATTGTTATACATATCTGAACAATTATAATTTATTTGTACCACTGTCTATTTCGATTATGAAATAAATGCTTCTATAAATACGATATATAAAACTTCAAAGATGATTGAAATTTCGCAAACAAGGCTTTGGATACGCTCTGAGGCTACAACAACATGGGGGAAAATGAAGAGGCAGTTTTTACTTTTAACTTTATTGCTTTTCTTTTTCTTTGTTTATCTTGACACAAAAGTATCTTAACTTTTAACAAACATAATTCATGAACCCATTTTAAATTCAAGAAGAAAGACAAACAATTGTTTTCAAAATATAATTTAATATTAACAGCTTAAAGCCCTTTATTGCTAACATCCGACTATTAGATGAAACTTGATTTAGCATCCTTGCCAAAATGGCCCACACACCGTAGTTGCTGGCAAATCTCTACTGTAACATTGCAGTGATAGAGAATCTTAACGTGTGTAATTTAGTGTACATTACACTGGCCATACGCATTTTGACATCATTCTCTGACCTTCTTTTTTCTTCTTTTTTCCTTCCTCTCCAAATTTCTTCATTCCCCCATTAGTTACGATTTATATATTGTGAGATAAATCGTGCAGAATATCATTGTTGTTTCCAACCCTCTTTATGATTCTAGATCCCAAGTCCATCAGCGGGTCCTGATGTACTGACGCACCCCCTCCCATCCGACAGACATGCCATTGTGTGGGCTTACTATGTCCAGGCTGTCTCAGAAGTAAGTGCAATGTATCTCATCTTCTTTCTAATAGTGAAAGGGACTGATCACCTGAAACTAAATTGCTCTGTATATTTTGGGTTCCATGCTGAGTTTAAATAGTATACTTCTGTAAAGAGATACACAGTAAACAACTAAATTATTCATCCCCTTTATAAATTAGATTTTTTTTTTTTTTTTGGGGGGGGGGGGGTGATTTTTGTTGTGATTTTTGTTGTGATTTTGTTGTAACTCAAGAATGAAAGGTGGACTGGTTGAAACAGGGCCTTTGTTGAATACTTTGAGATGTAAGCTTTAAGATGTCACCTTCTCAAGAAACATAAATCAGGAATAATCTATTTTTCACAAAACTTGGTATGGGAATTAATAATTTAGCCTTAACTGTATATTGTATTTGCAACACACTCCAAAATATTATTCTCTGTGATGATGCTTTCATACTGGCACACTCAAGTAGATATAAAATGATTTTTTCCACTTCTACATTTTAATCCGTAACCATTTGAATGTCTCGTAGTATATATTTTGGCAGTGATGTTCTGTCTTCCAATATTAGACAAGTTTGTTTGTGTTGATGGTTCGTTTTCCCTTTCTTAACATACACTAAGCCAGTTCATAAATATATTCGGAACGCATGACCCCAAAATATCCACAGATCTTTTACACTATGGATACGTCCCACTTGTGCATTTTAGAATAACCACTGCCGAAGTGATGGAGGTGATCCATGAATACCTTTTGTTTGCCTCTTGAGAAATATACTTCCACCTGTGTATCAAACAAATGTACTGTCGGTGCATAAATGATACTGATTACATAACTTTCATGAGCACGATACCAGTATTTGTGTCAGATTTTTTACAATTTGGGACCAAATGACCTTTATCTGCCCATGCACAGATAGTTATTACAAACTGGCTTATTGCCCGGTGAATAAGCACAGGACCTTTGTTTTACACATAAAAAAATTGTGGCGTCCTTTCTTTCTATTCGCTGGTTTAATATGTGTACTATCGGAACAAGTCTTAAATTGTCTGGTTAGACTTAGAGCCAGAAGGATATGGGTTAATACTTTTAATGCTCATATGAACTGACAGAATTCAGTACGTTGGCAGTGGTCTATATGAGAATCAGTTCTTCCTTTGCAACTTGGCAACAATTATTTGTATTTTCTACTCTTTCATAGTTTCAATAAAATAAAAAAGTTATATTGAATACAATCAACATGAAGTTACCAATTTGTACACAAAAGAAATGATAAAAAGTTTCACTCTGCGCTGCTTAGAGATTTCAGAGATTACTTTTTATTAAATTGCTCTCATTCATGAACGTCGCAATAAACTGCAACAGAAAGGGACTCAGATTGTCCAAAAATAAAATAAAAACTTCACTATAAAAAGGTGACAATAAACTTAAAGATAAAGTTGAGTTCTGGTCATGCGATTGCATTGTGAAAGAAACGTTGTGGAATTGATCAGAAAAAGTTGATCATCTAGCGTATTAATATTGGTGTGTACTGCAAAGTTCTGGAGTCATCAAAATGATAAGAAATTTGGCCCAGTTTTGGTAAAGTATAAAGTAACAAGCACTGTACACAGAAAGATGCATATGGGGCTACTCAAACATGTGGCATAAACATCCATCCCAATTTTTATGTTGTTATATGTCATATCTAGAATATAAAAGCATTTGAAGAGCCATGCTCTTCAGGGAACATTTTTATCTGATGTTCTTCCACATACACTTGCATGATAACAATGATAGCGCTCACAAATTGTTTTTCACCTCTTCCCAGAACTCAACCTTCTCTTTAACTCACACACATGCATATTCCTGTCTTTCCCTGTCATCATTAGGCTCAATCTGATACCGAGATCAAAGAAGCCTACGACGCACTTCGCAACCATCCTACAGCACTAGAATGCATCGCTCAGGCATGTCCTGATAATCTAAGAAAAGGTAGGAATACTTTTGAGCTTACTCGGTTTATTCTATGTAAAATGTTCACCTCTAAACTTAATTTAATTTGTTTTATGTGTAAAGCCCTATTTATAAGCAATTTGCTTTTTGGTGTCCCTGACCATATATTTGTTCTGTATTTTGTATGTTTTATGTGTTCTATTTTTCTTGTGTATGTTTTGCTTTTGCATGTATGTGGTTCAATGAATTCAATTATCTAAAGCTTAATTGAGATTTTTCATTGCTTCACCAAATTTTTGGTAGTAGAACTGAATTTTCAGGGAAGCTGCCTTAAAGTACTACTGAATGGCTTTTCATGGTGGTTGACTTGGCATCATGGTAGTTCTTTTTTTATCACTTACAGTGTATTTCCAAGATATTGTTTATTCGGCATTGACTATTTCTAAACTTACCTTTCTTTATTTTCATCCTTAATTCAGTGAGCTATTTCCATATGCAAATCCTAAAGGTTGAATTATATATTTTTAAACTAAAATATTCTGTTTTGAATAATGGTTTTAAAATATTTGGATCCTTTGATTCACATTTCATTGAAGTGTTTGGATTTTGGAATGAACAATGTAGATTTGAAACCCTTCAAGTTGCATCGGAATTACTTGTTGCTATAAATATTGCCATACGAATGGTTTTGATTGATTTGACATTTGTTTTTCATACTATAAAGGGTTGTCATGGAGCTAATCAAGACTGTAAAATGGGAAAATTTGCAAAACCATTGAGTTACACAAGGGAATCCTACCGTCAATTGGTGCCTATTATTTTGTGAAAAATTGCACTTGCATGTATGCCAATCTAGCTCCATGCAGAGAGATAAAGAAGGCAGCCAAAGTGCTACAGGGATTGGGTATCTTTGCCTCAGACTCTAAACAAAATCCTGGATTTAGCTCATGCTGCAAACCTTTAGGTCAGTCAGGAATCCCATGACTTTTACAAGCCGAACTGGTATATCAAGTTATTTATGATTGGAAATCTAAATTTCAAAAACCATTTCCTAACAGTTTTTTAATGCTACAGTCTATTGGGGAAAATGAGTATGGTAAAACCAGTCACTCAAAGATTTTTACTTCTTTGAGGCACTTCATGATCATTTTGAAGCGCAATTTTTTTTAGGGCTTCAATATTACACCATATCATGTAGGGCCATGCATCTCAAATTTAACATTAGTTATTATGCCTTTAATTCCTAAATATTCTTTCTTTGAATGTAGGATTTAGTGAGCTTCTTGCCCAGCAGCTTTGAAAAACACATAGACTAGTTGGGTTTTGTATGATTTGATATAATTTCATGAGCTGCATGAGTTTGATTATATCATTTTGTCATTTCAATCGTTATTTTTCTTTCTTTGATTGTAGGATTCATTAAGCTGCAGTGGTGTTTGTGCAAACATCAGTTTAACAGAGCTGCCAACCATTCCGTTTTTCCCGGCCGAAATTATTCAATTTGTTTTGTTTTTTTGTTTTACATACCACACATCAAACTGCCCTAAAATGTTATTTCGATCACGAAGTCAATAGAAAACTAAGGTTAAAATACACTTGAAGAGAAAAATATTCTCAACAAGAATGAAATGCTGATAATACCAAAATACCTACTTGTAATAAACTATACATGTACATGTAGGTCCTAATATGGAAAAAAAACTGCATGAGGAATGAACATTTCTGCATTGGTAGTGTATCAACCTTAGTTGTAAGTTTCGTTTTAATGAACTCCTTTTTTTTTGCCATCATGATTCCTTTTTTTTGTTGCAAAAGGTTGGCAGCTCTGATTTAACTGTGATCCCCATGCTAGGATCAATCTGCTTTGTAAAATTTCAACATTTCAAATGTCATTTTTCTTTCTTTCACTGTAGGATTTAGTGAGCTGCTTCCAAGCAACGATGTCGGAGCATAGGTCAGTTTAACCGTGGTCACCATGTGCCAGAGAACACATTTCAAATGTTATTTTTCTTTCTTTCACTTTAGGATTCAATGAGCTGTTTCCCAGCAGCAATGTCGGAGCAGAGGTCAGTTTGACCGTGGTCACCATGTGCCAGAGAACACATTTCAAATGTTATTTTTCTTTCTTTCACTGTAGGATTCAATGAGCTGTTTCCCAGCAGCAATGTCGGAGCAGAGGTCAGTTTGACCGTGGTCACCATGTGCCAGAAAACACAGCATGATATGTCTACATGGTCGTCAGAAGTCGAGGAGGAGAGGGATGAACTTCTAGAACACGTAAGTACTTTTAGGGATCTACTTCATGCTCTCATATCCAGGACCCCATCTTATGAAGAATTAGGATTGATTTGAATCAATCGCAAGTCCTCCAATCAATCGCAAGTTTGCAGTGTCCTATCTCCTATGTACAAAGTTGCCATTGATATCGATCGCAAATAAGTTGCGATCGATATCAACTCTTTATAAGACAGGGCATAGACTTGGGCCTAGACTTCTTAACATGAGTTTGTTTTTACCTCCAGTCCAAAAATTTGAGTGACAAAGAAATGCCTCGGAATTTAATTTTCTAAAGTCAGCCCTTTGTCCAGTATAAGCACCAAGGTGATTATCCTGGGTAAGACGTCACTCATCCCTTTATTTAACTATCCCCATTCTCTTCCAATATGTTCCCTCTGGTGGCAGCGTTGAGATATACATGTATAGGTTATATTTTTTTTCCCTGACTTTTTTTTTTTTCTTCCCAATTTATTTATCCCGATTTTCTCTTGATTTTCCCAATTTTTTCCAATGATCTTTTTAAAAGGGGGGAATGTTGTTAGATACTATTTTTATTTCCCTGAATTCTTTTTTTTTTTTTACTCAAGGGGTGGATGGTTGAGGTGCTCACTATCACCCCTGAATATAGGGTCCAATGAATCCTTTCAGTGCTGTATATGATTTTTCTCAAATTTGAATATTGAATTAATTTGTTTTCATTTTTTTGGACAAGGACAATCTTTTTACTTAAAATTCAAGGTGGTTTCATAAACTTCAACAATCTATATGATTGAAAACATTATTAAATGTACTTTTATTAATCAGACTATTAGAAAAGGGAACTTTAATTACAAGATTGTATCACGTAAGTTATTGATCAAAACACTTTACAATGTATTATCATCCTAGTCATTGGATTCAGTTATATGATTCTGCACTTGTATTGCACACTCTCAGGTTGCCATTCACAAGCACACATACATGTATCCTATTTTATGACAACAGAGGGAGCCATTGCCTTCTTGTAATCAGTACCATTGATTATGAAAGATTGGCCAACCCGGTTCCATGGAGTTGGGCACCATATGGCGAATACTGCTTTGTTGGACAAACACAAAATGAAAGAATATAAACCATGTTGTGACCAAACTGAAAGCAAGTTGGCCAAAATTCTGTGTTTAGATGGTTCTGTTTTTGTACTACTTTCCTTTTGAATGATCTTTTCTCAGAGCTCTAGAACAATCCAACCACTGTGCTCTATTCAAACAAACTTGGGTTTCATCATTTCCTTTCATCTATTTTTGTATGCCTCCGCTACAAAGTAGCCGGAGGCATTATGTTTTCGGGTTGTCTGTCCGTCCTTCCGTCTATACGTACGTCCGTACGTCCCATTCTCGTGATCTCAAGAACCAATTGATGGATTCCCGCCAAAATTGGGTCATGTATGTATCTTGTTTTCTTTCATTGTAGTTTGTGATGAGTGCCAAGGAGATTTGTAGGATACTAAGAGAAGCTGGTTACTGGGCTGACTTTATAGATCCTTCCTCTGGACAAGCCGTAAGTACAACCTATTTCAATCCTTTCATTTTAACAAAAAGGTAACAACTCAAAATTGCATCTAAAATGAAGTATGATGATGATGATGATGATGATGGTGTACGTGGTGGTGATGAAAATGATAATGATGGTGGTGACGATGATGATGATGGTGATGATGATGGTGATGGTGATGATGATGGTGTACGTGGTGGTGATGAAAATGATAATGATGGTGGTGACGATGATGATGATGATGGTGATGATGATGATGATGGTCATGACGATGGTATTGGTGATGTAAATACTCTGACAGCGATTGCTCCAGGCTCTACTTCTCCCAAAGTATATGTTTTAGTGTCAGCATTAGTTGTAATGTTTGCATGGCCCAAGGTTGAAGTGAGAAATTTGATGGTTTGTGTAGGATATTGACTGAAGAGCCATTCATCTGAGAGTCAGTTGGCCCTTAACTTATATACTTTGATTTAGATACAATGCCCATCTGGTTCTTAAAGACACAGAGGAGTGGGCTCTCATGGGGGATTCAACACCCAATAACAGGTGTTGTCAATCACCAGGGTTTGCTTTCAGTTTTTAACCTTATGTAATGTTTTGCATTCCCCTATACCCCTATACCCCTAAGGCTAATTCCCGTGCAACCTAATTTTCATACCCTTTACAAAAGTGAGCAGTGCTTATCCAAGCATGAATAATTTTCAGACTTTTTTGGTGTCATATGAAAGTTCAGTTTATGAGCTTTCCATACATTTTTTATTCGGCAGCCATTTCAAAAGCGTATAGTTTTTTTGGGGACGCACGGTATGGTAACATTAATATATTTCACTTTTCCCTCACCCAAAGACTCTCCGAGAGGCTACAGGGCATTTCTTGATAGGCCTAAGGGTTTGCTGTGCAGACTTGTCTTGTACACACATTAATGGTATTTCCACCCACCGGTAGTCTGGTGTCAGCTAATTATGGCCTTCTACACATGGAAACTTATGACCCACTCCCTATAACGAATGAATTTGGCTTCTGCTGGATGTCCATAATTTTACTCACAGAATTTGAATGTTATTGTCAGTGCTTGACAAAGAAAGTTCTCCTCCAATCTTTTCCTTGATACTGGTAAGTCACAATTTAGAGAACTAAGGGGGGGGGGGGGGGGCATTTCACAAAACTTGTCATCAGTGACAAATTACAGCTTTTGTTATATGTTACTGAAATCCTTGCTTCTGATTGGTTATCAACAGATTTGTTACTGATTTTTGTCATTTGTCATTGAAAAAAGGCTTTGTGAAACAGGTCCCAGATAGGTCTTTAGAATTGATGTAAATCTGTATAGCAAATGCTAAATTTCTATGACAAATTTACTCTCAGCCAATCAGATGCCTTGATTTCATTAGCTTATAACAGTAGCTTGTAACTTGTTATTGATATCAAGTTTGCTCTCAGCCAATCAGATGCCATGATTTCAGTAGCTTATAACAGTAGCTTGTAACTTGTTATTGATATCAAGTTTGCTCTCAGCCAATCAGATGCCTTGATTTCAGTAGCTTATAACAGTAGCTTGTAACTTGTTATTGATATCAAGTTTGCTCTCAGCCAATCAGATGCCATGATTTCAGTAGCTTATAACAGTAGCTTGTAACTTGTTATTGATATCAAGTATTATGAAACAGGGCCCTGGCTTATTTCGCAGTCCAATTGACTATTTTATTGCAAGATCGTGGATTGTCTGAGTCAGGCAACTTTATATTACAAAATGCTTTTAGTTCTAGTTTTTTGGGGGGAATAATTTTAGTTGCCTAAGGCTAGTGCTGGGGCATGCTTTGTGCTTCATTGCATACATACTTTCAAACATTCACAATGAAACAACAGGCAAAATGAAGGATTTGTATTTACATTCTGATAATTTAATCCATTTCTTTAAATTCCAAACATTACAAGTACGTGTGAATTGTGTTTGAATCTCAAATATAGCTCAACCAATTTCTAAAAGAGAAATGTTTTCATGCACCTGCAAAATATTAAGGTAACTGAACTATAATAAGCACATTAAGACCAGAACATTTATGCATTAAAAAGGCTATTTCTGAGTTGTATTCTGCATGTACATGTATCCAGATTGATCATAATTTTTTTATTTTGTAGGTCACATTTAAGCAATTGATCATGTGTCTATAAGGAACAAATAAATGTTTGCACAATTACGACTTCTTTGCAACATGTCACATGTACCACTGCATATCAATGACAATGAATTACATTAAAAGCATAGACAAAACATAGTTATGAACCCATTTCAAATTTTCAATAGAAGGACTAAAAAGATGCACATTGAAATTTGCAAACTATTTTAAAATAACATGAATACTTTGGTAAAGAGCAAAAGTTTTTGGTAGATTTTTGTTGAGAATTGGAAATAAAAAAATTGAAAATGAGTCTTGAGTGTCAGGGGAAGAAAGATAAACCATGAACACAAACAGATACAGTCCAGGGGGGGGGGGGGGTGGTTCACAAAGACTAAGATCGACTTTAAGTTGGACTTAACTATGGCAGGCCGTTCATGCCACTGGTTGCTCTCATCATTGGTCTCTCAATTATGATCTTTAGATAATATTTTTTCCTTCAATAATAAACTATCAAAAAAGGTAAATTGTGTAGATTTGTGACTACGATGTGTACGTCCGTTGAGAAACCAATGCCAGGAATGGTTAGTAGAAATAGTGGCACGAAAGCCTGCTGTAGTCAAGTTCACCTTAAAGTCGATTTTAGTCTTTGTGAAACACTCCCCAGGAGGGTTATTTCTGTTACATCAGTATCAACTACTCGGCTATTTTGATTTGAAGTTGGTATCAATATTCCTTAGATTATATTGATGTATTTGATATTTCCTCTAAATGAAACTCTAAAAAGCCCAAAGCAATTTTGAGAAGATGGCCTTAACCGAATAAAACTTTTATGGAAAAACAAATCATTTTTTGCCAGTAATACTGGATTTTTACTCTCAATTGATTAGCTGAGGCACATTTGAACTTAAAGATAAAGCATTGTATGTTCATTTGCACTGTCCATAAACTGTTGTACTAACACATCACACACATGTACATCTGCACATGTTTTTACACAGTACTCGATACATTCATTATTTCCCGATTCTTACAATACTGCAGTAAATTTGGTTAGGCACAAAAAAGTGAATATATCTTTGTAAATCTGTGTATATTACACACAAGTTCTTGTATAATATTGATATATTTTTCAAACCAAACAAACAATAACTTCTGTCTAAGATTCGTAAGGTATACGATATCGCCAGAGGCAGTGATTAAACATGTCCAGAATAATGATATAACCATCTTGTGTGACATCGATACGTCCAGTGTTTGGCTGGATAAGCTCCAGAGGCAGATTTCCTGCGAACCGATTCTCGTCAAGATTAACAATCTGTATCTTCTGGCTCTTCTCATCATGCACCAGGAGATGCCCTCCCGTCGTTATGGCGATGGACCCCGGTTCCGCCATTTTGTCCTTTGAACGGAGCTCTTTGACGTAAGAGCCGATGCTGCTGAGTTCCTGGATGCGGAAGTTGCGGGCTTCACTCACGAAGATGTGATCGTCGGAGCCGATGGCGAGGAAATGGGGGTGGTTGAATTCCCCCGGTTTGGATCCTTCCTGTCCAAGACGGGTGATGAGCTTTCCGACCTTGGTGAAGATGAGAAGGCATTGAAGGGCGAGGTCGATGATGTAGATGTTTCCTTGGGAGTTCAGAGCGATACCGTGAGGATGGGTCAGCTGGTCGTGTCCAAACTGATGGACGGGGAAGCCATCGTAGGTGTAGACGACTACTTGCTTGGAGCCGAGGAACACTGCTGCAATGTGAGAAGAGTCTGAACCTATCAAGGCAGGCTCTTGGAAGTCCACAGGAAACTGACCTAAGTGCCTGCCATCTGAGGAGAAACGCTGGATGCGAGAATTCTCAACGGTGTCTGCGACGAAGATGTCTCCATGCGGGGTTACGGTGAGGTCTGTCGGGTTGAGCAGTTCTCCTATACCACTTCCGCTGCGGCCTATCTGTTCCCTCGTATGAACCGGTATGACTTGCTGAGCGATAACATCGCCCGTTGTCTTTAGAGTCACATTGATGTCGTAATCCCCTGGAGACACTGGCAAGAAGCGAACATTGTAGGTTGAGACTTCTCTGTCATTACACACACAGCCTACCACTGAAGAATCCACAAGTTTTCCATCTTGGTCCCTTACTACAATGTTCATCATATCAGGAGTGAGACGTGCCCTCTCCATCTCACTCTCATCGCGTTTGTCTCCAAAAGGAACCCGATACCTGTTGGGAATGTCCAGCCCAAACATACATGGGCCGCCAACAAAGGAGCTCTTGGCTTGTAACCTGACCGGTTGAACTTTGACCTGGAGAGGGCTGCTTTTGATTGGCTGACCGGAGACGGAGATGTTGAGCTGGTGTGTCCCTGCGACCTTTGGTCTGAAGGTGATGGTGTAGGTCCCATTGTCATTATCCAAGATCTCACAAGGGATAGATCCTCCGTCGGGTGTTTGCATGTTAGCCGCGAAGCTGTCTCCTCCCTGTTTGCATTCTTTCCCCCTTTTGTCAATAGCTTTCACTTTAGCAGTGCACTTTGCACACACGAGTGCAGGCCTTGCTACTGCGATTGTCTTTGAAGGATCTGCGTTGCCTAAGTAGATCAGTCCCAAATTCTGGACAGCATTCTCAAATTGTTTCATCTCCTTCTTGTCTGCTTTACTCAAATGAAACTGAGTCAGATTTTTGGTTATGGTAGGATGATATCCATTCTCATCCTTCATGTCAACATGCCTGGCAGTCTTCAGCTTCCGTCCCCGTTTTATCTTCAGAGTGTCTTTGGCATTCATCTGCACCCCCGATTCGTTGCAGTCGTTGCAGCCATTTTGTTTCTCCTCTTCCTTGTTGTTGTAGGGTTTGCTGTCTCTGTCGTCGCTTCCGCTCCCTTCTTGGATCGACCCCAACGGATTCACCTTGAGCTGATGTGTGTGGTTCTTTGCTGCCTTTCTCTTCTTGGTCAACAGAGGGGGCTTTATGACCTTTCTCTCTTCAGAGACCTGCTGTAGAAGGGCCTGCTCTCTGATGTCAAGTGTTTCTCTGCACTTGCTAAAGAACTCCCTGACCTGAAAACACAAGAGAAACAGAGGGGGAAAGGTGAGGATTATAACTGAGGATTAGAATCAAAAGTATGAAATGGATATTTTCCCAGTTTGATTTGCTCAAAAATGTTATTTGACTTTTGAGGAGTAGAATAACGAATTAACTCTTAGACACATTTGACAGTGATATCTCCTAACCTGTTAGCCTGAGTGTCTTTTCCCATTAGCAGAAATGGATTAGTTATATATGTAAAACTGCATACATCTTTATGAAGAATGAAACCAAAATGATTGGATACATTATGAAAATGTCTCCTGGAGTGTTTCTCACAGTGTTTTAAAACAGTTTTTGACAGCTTCATTTTTTGTTTTCTGTTTGACACGGACCTCTCCTCCCCAACCCCTCAGACATCCTGCAGGGCAGTAAAATGAAAGTAGTATTATTCCGTGCTTGGTAACATAGCAACATGACATTGTCGACATACTGAGTTCTTGACCTTTTGACCTTGTGAGCAAGAACTCACCCACTGATTATTTGTTCTCCCTTCTTTAATAGAGAGGTAGGAAAGGTTTTTCTTGTCTCTGACATCACAAAGGAAATGAAATGCTAGTACACTGTATTACCCTTTCTGTGCAAACTTGTGATAGTCTAATTTTTAGATCAGTCATTGTAAAATTTAGCAATGCATACCTGTATATATTCCATGGCAACAAACATGATTGTTTTTTATTTATGAATGTGAAGTCCAGCATTCACATTCTTTGGCCCAAACATTTGCTTTAGGGTTATGTTAATTGCTACAATAAGATGGATTCACAATCCACAACGCTATCTATCTAGTGACACCAGTGTTTACTTGATTTTATGTGATGCATCATCGGAAAAAGTCAACAAAAAATATCAGTTGTGGCATATTGTACACTAGAAGAAAGGGAGATTTAATCTTTAATTTTTGGTGGGGAAGGTTTGAATAGCTTTGAATACCTGGGGTAACATTTTGTGTTATTGACAACTAACTATTGACAACTATGAACATCAATCATCTATCAATCAATCACAACAAAAAACTGACCATATGGTCACCTTTTGGTCAGGGGTAATTTTTCCAATCATCACCAGTATCAGCAAAGGAGATTTTGATGGGCCTATTCTACATACATGTATGTAAATGTATGCTCTGATGCTAGAAAAAGGGGTTGAATTGCCCCCCATCAACAATGATATGGTCATTTTGGTCACTGTAGTGTTATTTAAACCGTTTTTGAATTCCAATCATAAATATCTTGATAATCAGACGTGCGATCAGCTTGTAAACGTCATGGGATTCCTGACTGATCTAAGGGTTTATAATTATGATTGCAGCATGAGCTAAATCCAGGATTTGGTTTAAAATCTGAGACAAAGATATCCAATCCCTTTGAATATCTCCTTTTCTTATTTCATTCAGTGAATAAAAGCTTGTACAGCCCGTGCAATGGGACTTGCACCTGTAGCTTAATTCAATTAAATCTGACAAACGAACGAACGGGAAGAATGCCAAACAGGGAGAATAAACAGGGTCATCTCAATACTAGAAAGATTTATAAAAAAACAGAGAAAACAATTGTCTAAAATTAGCAGTCATTTCCTGCTATGGATTCAAGTAGACCTATATCGCATTAACCTGGATCATGCACATGTAGCCGATGAAATCAACTTGGATTAACCCATTTGGCAGTAGTTCATGGAATGCGATTTATTACCATATTTTGTCATGGGGGGGGGGGGGGGGTTATAAAGCAGTTCATGTGTTGGTGTATAGATTTTGTATTGAGATCCAAATTTTTAACTTTCAAACATACATTAGATAAACTTTCTTGACTGTGTTTTTGTTTTTTTGTTGTGGATGTTGGTGTTCTAAAATATTTGTTATGTTATACTGGACATATAGAATAGATAACTTAATGTTCATAGCTCAGTGTCAATGACATTTTCTTGTACAAGTACATGTAGGTACACTTAACAAACAATATTTGAGGTCAAAGTATTTTTCTTTTTTCATTTTTCTATTTCTGTTATATTATTATTTGAATCATTATTATCATTAATTATTTTAATGGAAACAGTTTTAATACAAACCTCATTCCTGACTGCTTCCATGCTGTCAAATGGTTTCTCAGAGATGTCTGCAGTGGTAGTAGATAAAGGCGGGGCATCTTCTTCAATCGTATGTTTAGGGGATGTGGGTGGGGTGATGTCGATGAGAGCCGTGCTGATGTGACGCTCGCTCCCGCCTTCCATGTTATCAGCTAGCTGTAGTTCTCGGCTCCTGTAAAATGAGAGAATTATTGATGAGTTTAAAGTCAATTCTGGTTATTCAGTGCAGGGTAATTTTGATATTTGTTGGAAAGGGTGGGGCATCATCACACCCGGGTGGAGGAATATCAATTTGAGCCGTGCTGATGTAATGCTTGCCTCCTCCTTCCATGTTATCGGCTCGCTGTAGTTCTCTATTCCTGTGAGTTGAGACTACGAGTATAAGGTTTGTTAGGGTGAAAATCAACTTGGTTTTAACATAATAGATGTGATTTGATTTGCGATGTGAGCCGTGCTGATGTGATGCTTGCCTCCTCCTTCGACGTTGTCGGCCCGCTATAGTTCTCTATTCTTATAAGTTTAGAGTATTCAAAGGGTAATAAAAGTCAGTTATGATTTTGAAGCTGATGTGAGGTCCTTAACCCCTATTCCTCCTATGGGATTTAATTTGATTGTCATGAACTACTTGATATTACATTCTAGATGCAATTCGCTATTGAGGATTTCCTTATTCCTGTAATAATAACAAAATGACATTCAGTAAACATTTCAGGAAGAGTGGAAGTAATATGTCATGATTTAAAGAATACGTTGTTTGAATAACCATACGTGTAGGTCAGAACTTCCTTGTGTCATGCTGGAATGGTCTATTTTTAGGTGAACTACAAGGAAGGTTGATGTCTGGTGTTTGAAAGTGTTGTGATTGATTTATATATAACAGACATCCAATCAGTTCCAAAGTATTCATGATTGCTTCCACTTCATTTATAAACTATAGTAGCAATTGATATCTTAAAACTTGAATTGAGGTTCATTATCATGTCAAACACAACTTTCATTAGATAGAGCCAACACAATCAACCTACATGTATGTGATTACGTGTACTGTATGACTCACAAACTATTTACCTAGATGCCCTTTTAGGTTTTTTCCTCAAAATGCACTGGTTACTAAATACTTTCAAAGTAATTGAGTATGGATAATGAAAACTAGTCTGTCAGATAATTTGTTATGTGAGGAATAGAAATATATTACCAAGTGTACCTCATGAAATACATGACTACTGGATGCACTTTCTCATCCATTTATCCTGATGTGATTGTTCAGGTTCAGGTACTGCTTTTAAAGGCCATCTGTACTAGTTTGGCTAGGAGGGATTAGACCACCCAGGGTGGTCACTGACAGGTGGCTATCTCATCAACTCGGCTCTCAATTAACATAAGAAAAAGACGATCATGGGGGACCAATGGTCACCGATTAGGCATTGTTTTCTATATAGAGGGAGCAAGTAGCTATGAGTAGTACATGTACAGTGGGGCTTTAAATGCTAATTTAAAGTATCATTTTAGTGAAATGCTTCACACATCGATTAGAATGCTTTACTTGAAGGAGTAACAATAAAAGTGTCTACATTTTTAAAGTGCTCATCACAGCCTCACACAATTATAGTTAAAATGCTTTACTCATGTGTACATACATATAACAATATGTAAGTGTCTCTTCATGTGTAAAATGTGCAAGCACTAATTAGTCAGACTGCTTTAATAGTTGTAGGAGTAAAAATCATGTCGGAAACTACCAGAGATCCGCCAACGATACTAACATCCTGTTCGCTAGCTTCTCATCGATATCATTAAACATACCGTAGGCCCTATACACACGATCTAGAATTTGCAACTATTTGTCTTTTGGATTACCTATCAGTTTCATGTGACGCATGACTTTGCAATATGTAAATGAAATCACGACTGAACATTGAACTGATGTGGCCTTTATCTGTCGTTGAGATTCGATTTACAATTCAAATGCTACTTTTTGTGCTAATATTTTTACACAGGATGCTTGAAATCACACATTGGTGCTCAAAATCTCAGCACTGTTTTTTTGTTGTTTTTGTTTTTGTTTTTGTTTTTGTTTTTGTTTTGCATATAGGGATTATATGCATACAGACTCATTATTTCAATCCGGACCCCCCCCCCCCCCCTCAAAAAAAAAGTGTGGAGTCCTGTTTATCGATTTCATGTGATACATGCCTTTGCAATTTAATGAAGTCATATGACTGAACATTGAACCCCGTATGCTCTTAAAATTTTAGTAGGAGCATTCCCACAAAATGAAAAAAAGGGACATTTGATTTAAAATGAAAATGGTACTTTTTGTGCAGTTCAAAAATGGGATATGTAGAAAATTAGTTTGCTTATATTTTGTTGTATTCCTCTTGGAACACATAGAAACTTACAAATACACGTAGCATATAAAAGAAGCAACACAAGCAGTGCAATTTCCATTGTGATCATAGTACACACGTACAAGTACATGTACATTTCTTTTTCTTTTTGAATTTCTTTTTCATACACCAAGAAAATTTTGTTTTTTTCTTGTTTTTTGTTGTTAAAGTACAGCATACTTGTGTATGCATGTAGTTAAATGCCCTTAATATGATCTTTTGCTCATAATTCAATCACTGTCCATAGCACTTAATGTCTTTATTATATTTACAATTTGGCAATGCAAATACAAGAGATGCACATGCATGCAGAAAATCATTAAGGAATCTGAAGTGGGAACCGTAGCGATGTACCTCTGGTCTTTCACTTTCGTTTCAATTGGCTGTGAAGGAGATTCAAAGGTCGATTGCTAATCAATCAAAAGTCATTTTTCATTTTATTTAAACAAACATGTATAGTGTCTCATTGAAAAGACAACTAGACCTGTATATGTACGACTTGTACATGTCCTTGAACAAGCTTTTGGTATCTCTTCTTTCTTTTGAAATGAATCTATGTCTATTCCCAACCTAATTAATCCTAATCTAGAGTTGGTTATTTAGATTTTTGTTTACTCTATCGCTCTTTGTTGTATTATGTGTTGGTACCAATGCTAGTTCAGTTGTGATAGAAACTAGATGTTTTTAGTGTTGACAGATTCTAAAAAGCCCGTCTTATGTCTTATTTTCATGGAAAAAACGGTTAGACATTTTCTAAAATAGTTGGGAGAATTTACTGTGAGAGGGTGTCACACAGTGATGCCTTCAAAGAAAACCATTAATATCTTTGTGGTTTGAAATTTTTTTCAGGATTGTTTGCATGTTTAGAGGGTTAGTACAGTAGAAGGAATATGATAAGTAACATTTCATACAAAATTTACGCAGTTTTTTCATCAACCTTCAGCGATGTTAGAGAGTCACTTTAATATTTAGCAATGCAATAAGATTAATTAATTTACAATAGATACACTTGCCACAAGTTGAAGATTTCGTCATGGTAACCCGGCTTTGCTCTAACAAACTTCATCATTATGTCCACCAAGCAGGAAAATCAACAGGTCAGGGCAAATAAAAGGTTGATTTTAAAAGCAACGGTTACTAACTAATTACTATCTCCCTGGTATAGATCCAAATGGTTGAACTGAGCTGAAAACAGAACTTTCACCGGCTTTTATAGTTGGATTGCTGGCACAGGGTGGATGTTCATTGGAGGACGGAGTATGTCCTGTTTTATAATTGAACCCCAATGATTGCTACACCCCATGTAGTCCTCAACTGTCCGCTAGTCTTGTGGCTCAAACCTTTTGTGATTACCGTATTGTTGTAGACAAAATATTTGTAACATTGGCTTTATAAAGTTACCCTCTCACTATTACAGTACGTGCTGTAAGAAATTATTCACCTCATAAATATCATCAAGACAATCAGTGAAAAGAAACATACCTGTAAGTTACATGTGAAAATAGTGAAATTGTTGTTTCAGAGCGTGAAATCGATGGGTAAAATTTCTGTGAGGTTACTTCCTCTATCTCCAATAGGCCATTTTAGTAATGTAAGCAAATGTGTAATACATAAGTCTTTGTGAAGTGCCTCAATACCAATTATTTCATTCACCTGATAAGAATAATATTATCTCAATAGTCAGAATGCAACTGTATGACAGAACATGACAGACAATGAAAGCGGACAAAATATACAGTTCCTCAGGTAGACAAAGGAACATCCCTTCACTGCTATAATATGTAAAAATGTGTAGAACAGGTGAATATGCATGTGATACCTGTTCTACACATTTTTACATAATACCTGAGGAACTGTATATTTTGTCCGCTTTCATTGTCTGTCATGTTCATAGTGAGTGTTTGTCCTACCTGGCAACAAGCAATGTATGCAGTTTGGATTCTGTCTATTGAAATACTATTATTCTTATCAGGTGAATGAAATAATTTGTATTGAGGCACTTCACAAAGACGTTTGCATTAAATTTGGTTACATTATGAAAATAGCCTATTGTTTTGACCTGATGTCAGGAGGAGGCTGTTTAATAGTAGACAGAGTCTCACTGTGCTTTTGTTATAAAATTCTTTTGTAATTATTAGAGAAACATTCCAGTCTGTATTATTTTATTGCTAGCTGATGTACCCATTTCACATGAACTCTGTTCTTTGCAAGCTAAATGCTTGACTGCTTTCTTTGTTTAATACCTTTATTAGGAAAACTATATATTTAAAAAAAAAGAAGCTTCATTGAACCCCAACCCAAATCATTTTACATTGCTCCCTCCCCATTTTTGTATTTTGAATGAAAAATACATACATGTATAAACAAAGTTGCTTGACCAAAATAGTCTCTTTTTTTTTATAGTCTAGTCTGATGTTTTAGACTAATTGATTTCCCCTAAATTCACAACAATGAAATTGCAAAATTAAAGGCTTCCCCCAATATTTCTGCTGTTGCTCCGTTTAACCCCATGGTCTTTCTCTGTTAGTCTAATTACCTGGTGTCATAACAGTTCCAGGAAATAGTTTATTGCTATTACCAGCACCTCCACCCTTGCAATCCTGATACAATCTGACAAATTTAATTCATGATTTAGGATACTCTGATCATGACTGGTTTCCGGTGTGAGTGTTACAGATTTGTTTGACTTTGTAAAAGGACATCAACACTTTTTCCCCACATATTATTTGGTAATTTAACTGGAATATGTCTCATCATCAATTCATCATAAATTAATCATCAACTA